TTCTTTGTGTGCACATATAGTTATCTGTATGTTGTGAAGATTTTTCTTGGTATATAGACAAAGTTGTCACAACTTCTGACCTGAAAATGTGAATAGCGTTGTGCCATTAAATCCCCTGTTCTTATCCAAGTAACTAATGCTGAGCAGTCTCCTTCAAAGGGTTTTATTACTAGCTTTGAGTAAACAGAAATAACCCCCTTTTTTCACATGCTGGAATTAAAGCATAGACTATTATCATTCTAGCAGAGTAGTAAATATGTGCTTTTTACAGAATGGATTAGTAAGGAAAAGTGATCTGTTTTCCCACTATTCATTTTTTATTCAATTTGTATAGCCGCCCATCTCAAACCAGTGACTCTGGGCAGCGAACCATCATAAAAGCAATTAAACAGTTAAAACACAATACAAAAAAGAAAATGAATACAAATAGCAGTCAAGAGTTATTATAATCCATCGGTGTCAAATAACTACCCCACATACTTACCTGCATTGGGTGCATGAGTTATTAAAGGCAAGGTTGCTCTTCCCAATAAATAAAGCTTTCTCTGCTGGGTGATGTAGTAATTTACTTTGCAGTATTTTACCTTGGCTGGCTTCTGAAGAAAGTGCTAGCAAACTCATAGTATTTCATAGTTTATAGTACTAAACTTTGCTTTTAGCCCTACCATGGATCCTATTTATAACCAAATAGCCACACTTCTTTCAAAATAGTCACCATCTGCTGTCTGGACAGGTGGTTATGAAAGAGGCATTGAAAGGAAACAGCAATTTGGCATATTGTGCCCAATATGTTAGAGTTATTTGAGGAATTTTATATCTTGCTTTTGATACAAACTGACCTGATTTGTACTTCACAACTAATGTACAGACTGGAATTTAGTCAGACTTTAGTGTTACAACTGTAGGTTACATCAGAAACAAAAATAGTTACCATAGGTTACAACATGACACAAAATATTCATAATACCATTCACCCTTTTATGGAGAGTTGAAAGGAAATCATTTTTCCACATATCCAACCAGTTAACATTTTCCTTAAAACTAAGCCTAAAAAAAATTAAAAGGGGCCAGCAAAATAAATAATGAGGCATATCTTCCACTAAATCATTCTCACATTTGCAAACTCTGGAGTCCAGGGTTTTTGTTTTTTTTTAATTGCTTTCTAAAAACGTCTAACCCATTTTTTAAAAAATCAAAGAAGAATATCTGAAATAAGCTTCAAATAACATTCACATTCAGACAGTGTGGATCCCTGCATAGACCAATCTTATTTTTGGCAATGGCATTTAAATCAGATTGATTGGAAATGTGGACCAGTCTCTAGCTTTGTTTGGTAGAGAAAAATATATTGACTTAAGAAGTCAAAAACTCCAGGGAAAAACCATAATGCTGAATGAGATGTTAGATTAGATTTTAGAATTAAATGTCTATTTAAAAATATTTTGATTTTTTTAAAGTCCTCAGATAGTTTACATAGTCATAACACATACAATCAAAAGGAATAAAGCAGAATAAAAACAATTTGTTAAAAATGAATATTCGGAGAGCTAACATTTGGGGACAGGCGCTATTAAAAGATACATGTTATGCATCTTTTAAAAACTCACCAGCCAGAGATGCGTAAAACCTATCAGCCTTGGGGCCTGATATGCCATCACAGAGGGGAGGTCATTCCATAGGCAGCTGGCATTTTGCAACCAGATGCAGAGGACAGGATCACACATCCCCACTGAGTATTGTTGAATGTCTGGGGACCAGTGTAATGAGAGATCCTGTTTGGTAACCTGGACCCCAGCTGCTTAAGGCTTTGTATACTAACACTGGCAGCTTGAATCTCAGTACAACACACGGCAACATGTGTTCTTTTGTGGCACCTCAGGTCATAATTTGTGCATTACAGTAAACCAACTTCAAGGTTATAATGCGTGAATCATTGTCATCAGCTGGCCAAACTATCTTTGCCCAATAATAGATAACAGATAATAAGTGCTCCTGAGAGCCAGTTTGGTGTGATGGTTAAGGCACCAGACCAGAAACTGAGAGACTGAGTTCTAGTCCCGCTTTAGGCACAAACCCATCTGGGTGACCTTGGGCCAGTCTTTCTCACTCAGCCCTAGGAGGCAGGCAATGGCAAACCACTTCCAAAATCTTACCAAGAAAATTGCAAGGACTAGTCCAGGCAGTCGCCAGGACTCAAAACTAACTTGAAGGCACCAAAATATATATATATATATATAGTGCTCTTAACCACCAAGATTGCTTAGGGCAGTGATAGATTTGGACCATTTCTAAAATGCTAACCAGTTCCTTCAGGGAAACTGCAAGATCTTAACTAGGTTTTTCTTCTTCTTCAAGGATCAGACAGTTTTCTGTACAAAAAGTTAGCAAAATGAATAAGTTCAGGAGGAATATGTTTAGAAAGACCTTTTTTTTAATCTGTTCAATTGTGTCTGATTCTCAGAGACTGCCTGGACAAGTCCCTGCAGTTTTCTTAAAAGTTAGCAAAATGAATAAGTTCAGGAGGAATATGTTTAGAAAGACCTTTTTTTTAATCTGTTCAATTGTGTCTGATTCTCAGAGACTGCCTGGACAAGTCCCTGCAGTTTTCTTGGCAAGTTTTTCAGAAGTGGTTTGCCATTGCCTCCCTCCTAGGGCTGAGATAAAAGGACTGGCTAGGGTCACCCAGCTGGCTTTGTGCCTAGGTGGGACTAGAACTCATGGTCTCCCAGTTTCTAGCTTCATGCCTTAACCACTACACCAAATTGGGTCTCTTAGAAAGTCCCAGTTTGAGGGAAATCATTTTAAAAACTAAATATTTCTGTACATTAAAAAAAAAATCACTGATTTTGACACTGCAAATACTTCTTCAAAAGACAAACTATAGAGTTAGGAAGCAGAATAATATAAAAATATCTCCTTGGAGTGTACAACCTAATTTGAATATGGAATACAAAATGGAATTAAGGATGAACATTAGGAAGGGAGAAAGAGAGGTGGTGCTTTGTAACTCCTCTGGAATCGGTTCAGCCTTTACATTAAGGAATGTCCAAATCTTAAATGCTTCCAATAGTTATTGCAGTACATATTTGACAGGTTATACTAAACAATGCAACCATCCTTTGTTGACCAAGCCACAGATGGTTGTGTTCTCATAACTATATGAAAGAGTTTTATCTTTAGATGATGATAATTACAGCTTGACAGATGGTATTAAATAAGCAAAAAGACCCCCCGAAGCCCCTTGTTCATGTGGAATTATAAAACATTGGGTAATGTAGTCAACAAACTTTGTCATGGAAGAGAGTAATCCATCTTTTCTAGTTTAGATGCTGCCAATTCTGTATTTGGAATAAATGTGTACAGTACTGGCATTTGTATTGTATGTGTTACCTCAGAAGTTTAAGAATTTTTAGACCTAAGAATCTGATCAATTATATTTTCACTATTTTAATTGTGTACCTTATCAAACGTTGTCTTACAGTGTTGGAAATGCAAATACTACTGTATATCAGAAACAGAGAGTGAAACTGACCAGGCTAATTCATTGCTCATGCTGACAGAAATGCAAAAATTAAAAAAAAAAATAAAAGCATAACTGGTGGAAAGGAAATTTTGACTTTTAAAAATCTTTTAATCTACAGCTTTAGTTTTTCAGGTAAGGGAAATAAAATGCTTTTGTCTTGAACATTTCGGAGTACATATTTTAAAATAAGTTGGTAAATTTCCCTTGAGAATGTGTCATCAAATTCTGGGTTAAAAAATGTTTAATTTTTTGGGTGACTAAGTTTAAGCAAAATGTGCCTTAAAGTTGCCAGAATCATTTTCTGAAAAAGTCTTGGACAAAATGTGAACCAAAACCCTTTTTTTTTTTTTTTTTTTTTTTTTTT